AATAGTGAAAGGTCTCTTTGTTGAAATACATGACTGCCAAAGCATTGGATGCCATCTTTGTTTGCCCCTTTCTGAGGCAAGAGACAATTTACAGTTTTTGACAGGTGTAATTAAAACCTTTATTTTTAAACATGTCCTATAGAAACTCTATTCTCAGTGATTTGCCTCCCCTTCTCTTCCACCCATTCCAGGTGGATTATTTCAGTACCAGTCAATGACTGTGGGTCAGTGGCTGGGAGCTGGCATGACTTGCATGGCTTCTGTGCCTTTCCTAGAAGTCCAAAGCTGTGTGTGTGACTGCCTGTAAAGAGGGGGGTGGGAAGGACACCCCAGTGACCTGTCAGCTCCGCTTGGATGTTATGTGGGAATGACCTCCTTTGACCTCCTGCCTGAAATCTGGAGCTGGGCTCTGTGGAACTCACAGGAGCACATCAGTGCTCTTCCAAGTGCTCCCTGCTTCCCAGAGCCTCAGCATCAGTACTGCCCACGGCAGTTCCCATCACAGCAGTCCATTCCTGGCTTTCTGAGGGAGATGTGGTTATTTTCCTGCTGTACTGTAACATGCTGCCATGACCGGGTCAGGGTAAGGGCTCTGGAAGGAGTCCAAAGCAAGAGAGGGCTTTGTTCAGCTGCTAACTCTTCTTCATTGCCCTTCATCACTAAATTGGATGCTATCCACCTCTTTTCCAGAAGTGCATTGTATTCCATGGCCTTTCTGTAATGGGCCTGCCATCCCCAACAGGATGTCAAGGGATTGGGGCATGGGGTGCTCCAGACAGGCCTCTGAGGCAGCTGAATCTGGGCTGGATGAGGGGAACCAGAGGCAGAGACAATACAGCGTTGAATGCAAACTTTAAAGGGGATGTCAGAGTAGCCAGACCCTTCCACCAGAATGTAGAAAAGAGAAGCTTAAAATTGAATATCTTGTGCAAAAGAGCAGCCAGTAGTGCCCGTCCCCATCAGTTCTTGCCTCTTTTCACCCCTGCCTCACTCTGTGCCCAACAGCTGGTGAGGCTGAAGCTGGTTGATGGTGTGTGAAGAGCACAAAGACACAACCTGAGGAAGCATGAATTGCAGGAGAGCACTGGGAGGGTAAAAGCTGCCCCAAAGGACAGCCTGCTCCGAAGTGGATGCGATGTGTGCAGCACATGTCACTGGGCTGTAATTTGGTGGGACTGGGATGATGTGTTTCCTCTGAGTCCATGGCAGTGTAGACGTGGGGACACCCCCTGTGATACCTGCCTGGTCAGCCAGGAAGATGAGAATGGAGCCTCTGGCTTGTGCCGACAGTCTAGGCTGGGAGATGGAATTGTCTTGTTTTTTATGCAAGGAAGTTTGGGTTTTGCTCTTTGTTTTTTTACCATATCCAGTTAAATATAGCCTTTTAATTAAGGATAAGCCAGTGTTTCTACCACTGACTCATAAAGAAACTCACTAAATTATTTGTTGGGTTTTTATAAAACAGGCAGTCTCTTGAGAAGAAAGGTCTAGGACTAAATTAGCAAGAATGCTGCAGGTCAGGTTTGAAGTACTGCATGGTGACAGAATTGTTTGGGAAGATTTGCTGGAATTAACTTTCTGCTTATCTGAGTTACCCTGCTGAAATCACTGATTATTTAAGTGAAAAGTGTCTTTCCCTAATCAAGAATTTTCAGGGTGTTTTCTTGAATAGTGAGTCCATTAAAGCAGGGCTGGCTTATTACTACACTTTAACTGAAATGCTGCTAATCCAGAATGGTGTGTAACAATATTTTCACAATATCAAACTTTAAAAAGTGTTCCTAAAGAAGCATGGAAAATATGGTGGCATTAAATTTGTGATTCCTTTTCCATTAAGTGGTGCATTTTATCTTCCATCCATCATTCCAGTCAGGTAGGGGTGGTGTTTTTCCAGCGATAAATCAGCAGTTTGATTTGATGATGTTTTTGTGCCACTTCTTACAGTACATCTGTTTGCCATTGAAGAAAGGTTCATTTTTAGGCATAGAGATTGTTATAACAAGGAGAGCACCCAAAGATAATCAGCCTACTAATAATTTCAGCCTAATAAAATCAGCCTATTACTAATTTCTGTGCAATGCACATCATCTAGATAGTTCTTAAAAAAAAACTTTAATGACAGCTAATGGAGCACAGAACTTAGCTTGATCCAACTAAAACCTGAATGAAATCCTATTTATTCATTTGGACAGAATATCTGTATTTTGTAAGTATGTAGGAAGGTTTGATTAACATTATATCAAGGTTTTGTTTCCTTAACTCTCACTTCTCTTTCTCAAAACAAGTGTGGCAAACATATACAAAAGATAGTTCAAAGGAACTCTGGAGGACAGGCAATGTCTGAGAGTCCATGGGACACTTAGAGTTGTGAGCCTGATGAGTTTTCATGCTAAAAATGTTGAGAAGGCCCTGGTCAAAGTATGCCTCCATTAGCTTTGGGTTCTTCAGTATTTTTGTTTCTTTGTGGTTAGCCACTGTATGTCCAGAGTCTGGTTTAAGAATGTCTTTATTTTCTGTGTGATTGAGAAGTTCATGCCTTCTCTTCAGCCTATATCTTAGCTTCTGTCTTTCTCAGGAAATAGATTTAAGGGTAAGGTAATACAAGAGTTGATAGAAATAATCTAACAGATTTTGATAGAAACCAGCCCACTGAAATTATTGTCAAAATTTACAGAAGGGAAACAAAGTTTAGAAGTCTGTTTGAAGATATAGTATCAGTCCCTTTAATTAAGTTTGTAATTATCTAAAAAACACAACAAAACAAATACCAAAAGCCCCAAATCCAAAGCAAAACATATCCTTATATATACACAAAGTGCTTAAAAATTCCCAATGTTTGAAGACACTACATTTGAAGTAACATTTTAAAAAGCTGCCAAGACTATGCCTTTTTCAGCAGTCTGTTGAGTCCTGTTAAATAGTTTTTCATTCTTCACTTAGAAACTGATTATGCATCCACTGAGCATAAAACTTAAAAGTAGTGAGCAAAGTCCAATCAACATTTTTATAGGAAAGCACAGGAGTCAGTGCCAAAGTGTTGTATTTCTGTGAAGCTGTTCAAGTGTCCTGGCTTGCTTAGACCAACTCCTCTGTGGCCCAGGCAGATTTTAAAGTTTAAAAATCTTCACTTTCACTTGAAAAGGCTTCCTGGAATACGCAGTAAGCAATGCTTTTAGCTCCTCAGCACATAACAGTAAATCCAAATACAATTTGAAAAACTAAGAACTTTTTAAAATTTCAGAAGCTCCTTACAAGAATTAAAACAACAAGGAGATGATGGAGGTCTGTGCTCTCTGTAGGGAAACACTCAGAGTGCCCTGTGTCCCTTGGGAATGTGGCTGCAATGACAGACTTTGGGTATTTGTGGGTGATCTGAATCTTCCTGTGCAAGCTTTTACTTCTCCCTCTTGTCTCCGTGGGGAATTTAGGCTCACTGAGTCTCTAGCTGCAGACCAAAATTTTCAGCTGTTGCGTCATCCTCAGGTGCCCACTTCATTGAAGCTGGAGGTGACAATGACCATGAGCTGTTGTCATTTGTTAAGAGGTCAGACTTAGTCTTAGCTGATGTTGCCAGTCCAGGTAGCACATAGCAAACAGCCAGATCCTGTATGTTCCTCCTGAGACTCTCCACCCAGAGTGTGTTCAGCAAGGGACATGTGAAATCTGAGGCCATTTGCCTGCACCAGAAGCTCAATTCGCCCAGAGACATCCCGCACAGGTGTGTTTGCACATTTCCCAAGCAGTGCATGTACAAATGTACAGGTACAAAAAAGCAGTGCAGTCGTACATTGCTGCATAAATTAAAGTACTTCACTATATAAAATTTCGAATTTTTCTGTTCTTCAAATTCATGAAGAATCTTGTTTTATGCCAAACCCATTTGTATGGCCATGTGTTGATTTTTCAAGGCAGGCTTATAGAAAGTTACTAGATTGCATGATCACCTTGTCTGTCAGGAAGGTAGCTTGGAAAGGAAGGTAAGTGTGAAAAGTATAATTTATGAGAATGATGTTTGTGAGGATGCTTTAGGAAATCAGCATCATTTAGATGGTGCTGAAAAGATGGTGTATTCTGTTGTCGTTTTGAGACTCTTTAAAGTGAAGTGTAAAATATCAAATAGAGTGGATCTGTGAAAACCTTTATGTTGTGTCCTTTGCCTTATTGTGAAGCAAGTGGTTGTCTATGGAAGCTCTGACAATGCTATTCAGTCTCCTTAGCATATGTTTCTTAATGTGTGTTCCATTGCTGTTAGAGGTGTGAAATTAAATTTAAGGAAACTTTCCAATTACCTAGCCTAAAACAAGTCCAGTCAGAATGTAAAAAATACTGTATATTTTCCTAAACATTCTGAAGCAGGTCCCAAAATTCCCACTGACTGTGTGTGTTCCTGTTTTCTACCAGCATCTTAAAAAAATACTTGTAGCATTTACAATTATTGTTAGAGATCACCTATTTGAAGACTAAGACTGTCAGTTCAGTTTTCTTAACAAAATAATAGTTCTATACTTCTAGTATATCTCTTTTTAGACAGCACTGAAATAAAACATGTGAATGTTTTCTTCACTATTTTATTACTTTCATTTATTTATTGAAATAACTACACTGACTTCTGTTGTTTGATGTTTGTATAAATGGTAAAGTAAGTCAAGCTAACTGTTTAGTTAGGAGGATTCACTCCCTGTCTCTTTAGACTATCATCCTACAAATGCTTTTATAATTTACTTGGCATATATATATGTAGCAGGTTTTCAATTAAATGAATATTGATGGAAATATTACCCTAGGTTATAAAATAATCAGAGATTGGTTTAGTTCTGTTTTGTGGAACACCAAATGCTTTATTGTGACTTAACTATTAAACATGTGCAGCTACTTCCAGTGCACATAGTTCCCGGTTTTTATGTGTAAAATAAAATGCATATTAATGTGTGATATCTGTGTATGAAATTTGCAGATACTAAGAAAAAGTGCAATGTTAATGGTTTATCTTTCTTTTGCAGCTTGGATCATCCTCCTCTGTGCCTTTTACATCCATATTCTCGCAGCTGTTTATGACTGTTGTAGTCCCTCTTATTATTGGACAGGTATGTCTTTTAAATATACATTCTTATTTAAAAAAACAAGATAAAGAGAGCTATCTTAAAGACAGACTGGCAACCTGATAAGCTGCCACATAGGAACAGCCTCAGGATAGTGAAGTCTAATATCAGGGAAAAGATGCTACAGTGCTCCCTGGAGCCACATTGATCTTTGTTGAGATTGAGCATCTGTCCCTCACTACCACAAACACACGCTGCTGCAGAGTGAGGAGGGAGCTCCTAAACATAAAGTGGGAAAAATGGCAGCCCAGGCTGTGAGAAATTCCAGCCCCATACAAATGAGCTTTGAGAATATTACACAGTCCTTTTGTCACATACCCTTTGCCTGGGGGTGAAGGAAGTCCTTCCTCCCTGTGTAGTATCTGCTAATAATTACAGGAATGAAAAAAATCTCCACATTAATAAACATATAAAGGCTAAGTGGTCACAACTTAAGAAATCATCAAATTAAGGCTGCTCGAGCCATTTTGCTTGTGCTTTGCAGTAAGGGGTTTAAAGGCACAGCTGCAAACTTTTCACATGATTTCTCTATCATGTTACACTGGGTGGAAGGTATTTGTGAAATGAACAGTTAATTTTATACTATTTGTTCATATGTTCACACAAAGCCTTATTTTCCATTGCTTATGATAGAAAACTTCCACTGAATGTAAAAAATTCTAATTGCATGTATAAGGTTTTCTGTGATCCTTGTCTCTGTAGTGCCTGTTTGTTCACAAATGTTAATATTAGTTATTTTTTCTCCCATGTCACGGTGGGAAATCACAATAGTAAGACCTAAAGTTGTCGTAACTGTTGTCACTGCTCTTGGACAGTGTCTAAACCACCTCAAGTCTAGTTTTTACTTGTTTGTAAGTATTTGTTGTTCTCAGGCACTTGGAATGCACAGAGGGCATGTGAGTGGGATTTGCAGCTCATTCGAGCATCCAGCTGAGCTCTGGGTTCAGCTGGAACCTTCTGAATTTTGTCAGCCTAAAGCAGAGTTTGAAATGGAAGGCATGGTTAAAATACAGGCAAATGAGAGCAGAGGCTGTAAAGGAGCACCCTGGAGAAGGTTAAGCTGCAGGTTAAGAATGTCTGCCATTGCCTGTGCTACACAGGACAGGCAATCAGTCTTTTATCAAACTATAATTGCACATTTCAAAATCAGTATGTACTGAAACTTAACAAATTCCTGGTGAAGTTTCTTTTGATTAAAAACACATTGAAGTCTAATAAAGGGACGAGCACGATAAGCATGACAGTAGTCATCAGCATCAGCACCTGTGTAACTTCTTGCAACCATATCATCTGGAAAATGGACATTAGCTCTGTGTCCCTGAAGGCTGTGGAACTGCTCTCATGCTTTGAATTAAATGCCAAAGAGCTTCCTTATTAATTAGGACAAAGTGTTGCTAATTAACCTACCTCTGTATTGCATTCATACCTCATCACAATTAAGTGTCAACCAAAAGTAGACAAGCGAAGTACTTGAATCCTCTTCTGAAAGGTCCAAACACTGGAAGCTGTTAGTTGGAAGCCTTAGGTGAACATTTCTAGATAACAAATGCACGACAGCAATTTAGCAATAAAGTGTCCTGTAGTCGTGGAGTAGTATCAGCATGTGTGCTGCAACGTAATAACCCCAAAGCTGATAATAGATTGCTGGACAAAGTGTTGGCAAAATTTCAAGAGAACTTTCACCTGTATATGTAATGGAATGTTACAGGAAATTGATATGTCAGCTAATTGGTGGAGTTGGGTGTTCTTTCAGCTGTTAAAAGTGATAAGGCTGAGTATCATCAATGGAGCAGTAGGCATACGAAATAAGTGCTCTGTGTGATCACAAGATCGAAATCAGAATTGTGATTCTGATTGAGATGGGATTTAGGAGTTCTGATAAAGACTGAAAGAAAAAATGAAGCATCTTAAAGCTTGTGTTAACCAATGACAAATTAATAGTTTGTGTTTTTACAAATACACTTCAGCAAGAAATAGGATGATTCTTCATTAAAAGTCTTTGAAGCAGTTTCTGGAAGTGGAAGATCAGCAAAAGTTGATTAAAAGTTGATTCCTCTAAGCATAAAGACTTTGTTTCTGGAGTTACTGCGCTTGACTATAATCTGTTCAGAGGCTGTGGAAGAGCATGAAAGCTAGAGATCAGAATTGCCAGTACTTTACAGTGATTGTCTTGATTAGACAGAGCTGTACAAAGGTAAACCAACCTGCCCAAAAAGGAATGAATAAAAGCTATTTCTGAAGGTGGATATCTAAAAGTAATGGGCAGCAGTCAGGGAAGACAAGCAAGAAAAGGACTGATGCCAAGAGATCCAGTGATAGGTCTGCTTGTCCTTCATCTGCTCCAGTTAAATGGGAAGTTTTGCTCTTTGTTCATAGAGCACCACTGACACATCACTGAGGTGTTGCCCAGCACATGGCACAGGGACATCTTTGTGAATCACTGGTCACTCACTCTGGGCTTCTAGTTACATTAGGGGATAATGCCCCACAATTCCTGAATGATGCCTTCAGCAATTAATTGGAATTTATCATTTTATGCCCACAACATCAATTCCTTACCACATGCGGCCATTCTGGTCAGCAGAAAAGTCAGTGGAAGAATGCCTGGTAAGGTGACCTGGTAACAAAGAGCTTGACTGGGAGGGAAAAAAACCCTCAAGCTTGAAACCTGCCTGCTTGGAGGATTGCCTCTCCTCGGCCTTCCTAACTCATCTGTGATCAGTGGGGGCTTAATGTTCAAACCACATCAGTGTAAAACAGAGGAGGCTGCTTAAAGGAAGCTTCTCCAAGGGCTTTCTTTTCCCTTAAAAAAATCTTGCCTCTGGGAAAACCTGTGTTGCCTAAATGCTCATTTCCTGAGCAGGCTGCAGAGCTGGCTGTTTGAGCAGCCTCTGGGATATAAGCAAAGCACGTAAAAAGGTGCTTTTAGATTTGTTTTGTTTGGGGTTTTTTGTTTGCTTTATGGCCAAGAGTTTTGGTTGCTTGACTGCCTTGTCAGAATTTTTGATGATGGCTGGGAGAAAGAAGTCACAATAGTGTAATTGATGCTTATTTTCTTCTGTTTTTAGAACAGTTTTTATAGCTTTTTAGGACTACTATTGACAGGAGTCAAACATGATCTTCTAACTGCTGCCGTTGAAATGTGTAAAGGGCTGCAGGTACAGACTCTGCTCAGGTGGTAGACTATTCTTTAGGGAAAGAAAGAGCTGTTAAAGGAAGAAAAAGAAGATACTGTGTTAGCAGAAAGGCACTGAGTCTCACAGATGGCAGTGATTGATAGATGGTCCCCAATAAGAATCACTCTGTTCTTTGTCAGAATCGTGGAGGTTGTCTGAACCTAAAAAATGTTGTAGCCTGTGTCCTCAGTGTCTACAGATGTGTTCTGCTAATTGACAGGCTGGTGTTGCTCAAATCAGTATTGATAGTATAATATTGCATTTGTATTTGTAGAGTAACAGATAAGACCTCTCTGACAAGAGGTTTCAGAAAAGGACATAATCTATAGTATTTTATAAAGATCTAATTTCCTATAAGCCTTGAAGATCTGTAGTGGTAAGAGCTTGGTTATTTGTGCATCACTCTTGTATACCTCTAAGGGGAATTTGAGAATACTTGTTATACAATAAACATGGTAATAGATATTTCATGGAAAAGATTTTTGAATCTGCTCTGGCAGCTTGAAGTTCTGATTATTTTTTATCTGGGTAGCAGAGTCCTGGGTAAGATTGCTGCTCTTGAGCTGTTGTGATTTTGCTACAATCATTGTTTCCCTGCCCATAGATATTGGCAGTACTTTTGGCCATCAAAATGTATGGTTTTGAGAAATATCCAAGCATTTCTTCATGACCAGTTGTGAGATTTAGCTGGGGACTGTTGTTTCTTTGCTTATTTTTTTCTTCTGAAGTGACAGATAACAGGAAAAGTGAAACCCACCACAACGTTTCCTTTCCCCTTTTTGCAGACTTTCCCCGTTCCCTACACCTAAGTGCTTATGACAGACTTTTATTTTATGTTTTATATTAAAGAGCGATTTATGATTAAATGTTAATGAAATAGAATTTTCACTGTGCTTTCATTATATTCTACTAGTTTGAACATTTTTCAAAGCAGCACACCAAAACCCACTGTTTTCTATGAATAAATAATAAAAAGCTTGTCTGTACATTATCATTCATGCATTCTCTAGTTGCCCCATTGGTAATTTGTCTGCCAGCGTAAAGTGGGCACTTCACATTAAACAGACCTTAACTAAAGCTAAAATTAATGTTACGATTCTGTGTAGTTCTTCTTCCCAAATCTATAAAATTAAACCAGTTGTACAGAAATCCTCACTAAATCTGGTCACACACAAAAAAAAACCTGGATGTCCTACAAGTAAAGGATCTTAAGTGCCTTCTGCATCGTTGCCCAGAATGTTCCAGAGGAGCCCTATCAGCATCTGGAAGCTGTGCTTATCAACACAAGTCTAAAAGGGTGCTATGTTGCAATACAAGTTGTAAGTGAAATTGAAACTAAAAAGCTTAGCAAGGTATTTATTTTTAAAGAATGAGAAATGGAAAGGGGAAGGTAGGTGGAAGTTGATAGGAAGTAGAAGGAACTACTTAACTAAGGTGGGGGAAATAAAAATTAACAGAACTGTTATTAAAAAAAGGGGGGGAACAATGCCAAATCTGTCTCTTCTTGTAAATGAAATCTACATAGAAGGAAACCTTATTCTCTTCAAAGTCCAGGAGAGCTGCAGGGAGGAGAGGTACCCTGGGAGATGAGCTCTCCAGGAGCTTTTTGCAGAGGACCAAAGAAATGGATAAACAGCATTCAGAACACATTCAGTCCCTACCAAGACCTGACTCAGCAGGGAACAGAGCCTCCTTTCCACAGAATGCAGAATATGAAGGAAAGGTACTGATGCTGCCAACACCCTTCACATTTTTATCGTGTTACACCTGCTTATAAGGTTTTAAAACAACAGTTGCAAATTACTCCAAACTGTGAAACTTAATTTTGAAAATGACCTCATGTGGTTTTTATACCTTGCTTTAAAGGTGTATATGTGTCAGGAGCTACCTCTTGGGAGTAAGCCGACTGACATAATGGAGTAAGATAGCTTTTAGGGGAGCTTGGTAAGCTGAGGGGAAAAAAGCAAGATGCTTATAGAAAAAGATTTTTTTTTTCCCTCAAACTGCAAAAATTTTTTTTTTCACACACTGTCTTCAGAAAACAAACATTAGATTGCACACCCTGTAGCATAAGGATAGATTTGACATTTGATGATGTCCTAGGGAAGCAGGTGAACCATCACAAAATCTGAAACTTTACAGCAGTATTCAGGAAAAGGTGGGAATTTATGCCTCCACAGAGGTAAAACCCCTCTGAAAATATCAGGACAGGGTCTAGCTGAGTTGGTGCAAGTTTTGCTTTATAAAAGGGTCTGTGCATTTGAACTGGCATGCAGACCTTGTATATATGGGGGCTGGTTATGCTATAGAAATCTGTGAATGATGTCCATCTTAGTATCTTATTTGATTTATATTTTTATACAACCCAATTAAGCTCTCTTCCATTCCAGGATTTGATTCTTTACACTGTTACACTGGTTTTTACAGCTGCTGTCATCTTAGTTGATTTTCTTTCTTTTTTTTCCAATTTTCTCACCTTTCATATCTTACAGACTTCGCTGACCTAGTTCCTAATATTCCCTGCAATTGTCTTTCTTGGGTTACCATCACTATATAAGAAGAAATGTGGAAAAATTGCAGGACTGTTGAAAATATCTACCCTGACTTAAAGATTTTCAAAAGAAAATTTTGTATTTTAGACTTCATTGCATAAGTCTGTTGCTATAAGTAGTAATAATATTAATTAAGAATGACTTAGGAATCTTACCCTAGAAGACAAATTAAGTAAGGTAACTGCTGCATTTAGGTGTGATGATAATCCAGCAGTTTTAGCTTGTTTACTCATGCGTTTGAACACAAGGAAAAGGTGACTTGTGTTTCTTTGTTGAGATGGTAAAGCCCCAGGTGGTTTTCCCAGGTGTTTAGAAGAACATACCAATACACAATAAAAAGGAGCAGAAGTGCAGTAAAACCACTATAAATTCTGTTAAAGGGGAGGTCAGTCCAAAATAATTGGAAATTATTAGGAATTAGGAAAAATTTATTTTACAAAATGATGTAAATACCATGTAAATACCAGAGAGAGACTCTTGTGTATAATGGAAACAGAAAAGGTGATTCTTATCCATTTCCTTTGGGGTTTTGGGGTTTGGGCTGTTTGGCTTTGTTTTTTGGTTGGTTTTTTTTTTTTTTTCCAATTCTTGGGTTGAATAAACAAATAAGTTACAGATGTAGATAATTTTTAGAAGATGTACTGCATGACTAATGTCAGAAATTATTCCACTCCTTAACTCCTTACAAGGTTGGGGGGGAGAGCTCCTTGCCCTATTTAGTTCAATTAATAATGAACATTAACGTATTACATTGTTTATTGCATTTTTTACCTTGTGTGTCCAGCACTTGATCAGACAGGTAGAAACAGTCTAGCTGTATTTTACTGACAGATTCCTCTGGGCATACAGTGTGACTGTTTTGAAGGTACAATTAGAGAAGTGAACAGGTTTTTTGTAACACACCTACTGCTATTTTCATGTGTGATTTAATAACAGATGAGCACTGTTTACCTGCTTTCCTGGAACAGCAGATCATGTTTCTTTGCCCAAGGATGTTAAGTGAAATAAGCATTAGAGCAGTGAGCCCGTTTGCTTAGGAAGGTTGGTGTTTAGACAAGAAGGTTATGGCAGGATACAGAGCAGTCTGCAGGAAAAATACTGTGGATATAACTATTCTGGTAGGAGAACTAAATTGAAATGGGGACACTACTGTTAACTCAAGTGTAATTACATTTCTTTGTTGTTAAAAATTAAATCCTGGGCAAGAGAAAGTTTGAGCCTGAGACTGTGTTTTGAAGCAAATTTCAGCTGATGCCTTTCCAAAACCTTTGGAGATTGCCAGAATGTAGTCTTCAGGAGGTGCTTGCCTGCTGGACACATTTATGTTCTTTTATTGTGTGTCTAACTTTTCTGTGAGTCTATCAGGCAAATTATTTCTAAAATATCACCTACTCCGAAGCTTTGCTTCTCTCCCACTCTTTTCTCCACTAAACTGCAGTTTGAGGGAAGGATTCACCTTCATGTTCTTTCATGTGCAACCTCTGGGTCAGCCTTTCCCTGCTCTTTGGGGCTGGCATTTGAATCTGCATGAAAATCTTTGCAGAGCATCACTACCAGCATCACTGCTGAGCTCAGCCTTGGCCAGGGCTGGATCCACCTCGGAGCTGGCACTGGCTCCACCAGTCACGAGGGAAGCTTCTGGCAGCTTCTCCCAGAAGCCACCCCTGTTGACTGCCCCGCTACCAAACCTTGCCACAAAACCCAATACATCCCCTTTTTGCTCTTTTCCATCAGTGGGATGCATCTATTTTGGATACCAGTTGTTTATATTAACATTCAAAAATGACTGTGTTAGCTTTCGCTGTATTTCAGACAAATGAAGCTTTTGTATCTCAGCCCAGGATCTGAATATTGTCTTTGTTGTCTTTCTTGTATTTGTGGCATTTATGATTACTTCACTACAAATATTCACGATTTTGGGGTTTTTTTGTAGTTTCCTGTTTACCCTGAAAAGTTATAGAATTGGGTTAAGAATTAAAAGGCTTTCAAAGCATCCTTGTCCTGAAGCAGCTCTGCCAGGCATGAATAACAAATGGATTGTTTTTCAGTCAAAGTGAATCAGCTGACATGAGCTTCTGTAGGGTTATATTTCTCCCATCAAGTTATACAAGAATTTAGGTTGCCTTGAATCAGTGATTATAGGCTGAATTGACCTCTGGAATTACAGATCATGTTGAACCTTGTGACAAGATAAAAATGTATGGGATTCTGTGTTAGAGAAAATGTATTTTATCTGTTTTGTGCACATTTAGTATGACACTGGGTTGATTAGATGATTTCCTGAAGCCACAATTTAGTTTTTCAGGGTCTGACTATGTAATTTTAAAAAATATATAATATGAAATAAGAAGCTGTACTGGTATTTATAGTTATTGATTCACAAAAATTCCAGGATAGAGAGAGGTGGATATTTAAAGAAGGTATCACTCAATAGAAGATTCTAAGGAAATACTTGCAGTTTCCTTTTTAAAATGTTTTTTATTTCTCTTCTCTGTCAGTCAAGGATAAATATATGTATAATGTTATTATTGTCGTGTCTGTTATAATCAGACCCTGAACAGAAACAGGGTTGTAGTTTTTGTTTTAAATACTTCTACTAAAAATTATACCATGGTATAATGAGCCATCATTTTCATTTCAACATCTCGTTACTTTCAGTATAAATCTTCTGGAAGGACCATAAATTAATAGGTGGCCTTAAGTAGTTTTTCTTTTTCCCCAGTGTGACAATTTAAGGGATAATAGGATTTTTTTAACTTTGTTTAAAAAAAAACTGCTCACTTCAGAAGGGAAGGGCTTTACTTGTTGCTTGTGATAATTACAGTCCCAAATTTGCTCAGAATTAGACTAATCTGAACTTCCTATTAGATGTCTTTCACATTGGTCTCTGCATGTCTTCACTTTCTTGTGTCTCTATTATCAGTGCAGTGTCTTATTCCTGCCCAGTGGCTGAAGGAGTTCCAGTGGAGGCTCTTTCAGAAGTCTGGCCTTATATTTTTTGTTATTTTCTCTCCTTAACATCTGGCAAGTGTGACATTTTAAAGTTCAGTGCTTTCACTGGGGCATTGAGCATTCCCTTAGATATTTTCCTGCAAATTTGTGATTTTTCATCAGCAGGAAGCCCACAAGTGCTGGGAGGTGAGTGCTGATCTTCAGCCTGCTTCGCTTGGCATGACGCCCATGTGCCAAAGTTTTAGTGTGTGCCCTGATGGAGTTTCACTGCTGTGGTGACTGGGATAGCTGCTCCAGGACTTCCCTGCTGAGAGGCTTGCAAACAAGCCAGGAAAGCAATGAGGAAAACTGAGAGCCATGAGGAAAACTGAGAGCAGCTTAATTCCATGGCTGTGGCATTTGTTGTGTGAAAGGGTCCTGTGGTAGCAGTGGTGATGATGGCCTGATATTAACCTTGAATACCTCTAAGATTTTCTGTGTTATTGAACCAGTGGTGCTGATGTTTGCTAGCAGCACCACTAAGGGAAGGTCACGAGACACCTTTGGAGCCCTCTGGCAGAAGAGCTTCAGGATCCCAGGCTGTGATTTCCAAAAGAGTGTGGTAACAGAGAACATCAGGTGGCCTCAGGAGAAATTAGGCAAGATAATGTGATTGCTGAAAAATTAACACAAGTTGCAGCTGTACGATAAAAGCTTTAAAAAGTTTTTTCAAACCATATAAAGTAAACAGAAAAACTAAAAGCGACTCCCCAGGCAGGACTAAAATAGATGCATTGTATCTGGTGAGGCTTAGTGCTGTGGTATTCAGCATAATTTGAACGTTGAGGTTGCTTTAAAATTTATAGTTGTTTCTAAAAAATTCTTGAAAAACTGCCTCATATTCTGTTTCCTGAAAGTGCAAAAGTTCTGCTAAGTACAGTGGGTTTCCTTGTTTTCATGTGTTAATTCTGCTATTCTAAAAGCGTGCAAATGGCATTTGTCTTTGGATTTACAAAAACTCCAGATATTCAGAGTTTGAATTATTTAAACTCCCACAACACATGCACTTTTGCTTTTCAAGCTTGAGTTATAATTTAATTAAAAACTTCTGGTGCATCGCTAGCTATTTAAATATTAAAATGTTCCATGGATCACTTTCGATTATCTACCGTCATGAAATTCCTGAAGATGTCAGATTTTTAAGATTCCCAAAGTTGCACTTGGAATTGTCTGTTGATGCAAAGGGGACTGTGATAATTACATACATCCATTAGTATCAGCAGAGGAGATAAACTTTGGGGAGGCTTAATGGGCATGTCTCAGTGACAGCTAGCAAAGAACATTTGGCATGATTAAGGATGGATTTGAATGCACTTGAAAATATACTCTCATTATGGACGCCCAGTGGAAGTTGCACTACAAATGTTAAATTCCCCAGAAGAAGAGTTGTGTGGCAGGGAAGCTTTGAAATCCACTGTGGCCGTCATCCAAATTACTCTCTTCTCTTTGTGTCTTTCCGCTGTCAGATTCGCTTTGTGATGCCCAACTTGGCTCCCTGCATCTTTGAAAAGTTGGTTTCTGTGTTTCAGATTGTCCGAAGATACATCAAGGACTGGCTTGAAAGGAAGAAGCCTCCATTTGGTGCTATCAGCAGCTGTGTGCTCCTGATGATCATCTACACGACGTTCTGCGATACTTTTGCCAATCCAAATATTGACCTGGATAAATTTAGCTTGATTATAATCGTGTTCATAAGTAAGTTCAGCCCTAAAGTCACTCTTTTTTCTTGTGTTTCAGGTCTGTAATGAGCTACATGTAGTGGGGGAGCTGTGGGGGTACTGGCAAGGTGTTAGAGTTTCTAAAGCATCTAGTGAACCAGATTGCCAAACTTCTTAGGACCTGGATGCATTTAGGGATTTGAGTAAGCATTTAGAGAGGAATGAACCCTGCTATTTAGGTGTGCCTGAGGTTGCTCTGTGGCCCTTCCTTTCTGAAAAGGCATAGTAGTACTTTACAAAGATTCATTCGCATTTTGGTTTTGTCTTCTTTGTTATTGAACAGCCATAAAATACACAGATGTCACATTCCAAACAGCCACAAAAAATTTGGGGTTGAGCTGTTACTCAGAAGCACTGTTATAATTTTTAAACTGCTCTTCCTTAGCATATTATAAACCTAGAAACTAGTTGGGAGTTTGAATGTGTTGATCTGTTTCTGTGGATGAGCACATTTCTTAAGAGTTTCTTTTAGAAGCACTCAAGTCATTCAGCCTTAAATAACATCCACGTGAGAATAGGCTGCTGGTATCCCTGCCATCAGCTGGAAACACGCTTGCAGATCCCTCCCTCCCAGGGAAAGGCAGTGCTGTACAGGCACTGTCTCCTCTCCCAGCAGGGAATTCCCATCTTGCTTCAGACTGTCCACAGACAGGAGTTTCAATTTGCATGGAGGAGAGGTAACTACAGTATGCTTCAGTATAAATCACATCTCATACTCTAAAACTGTAGATTTCAAGAGATCACACCATCACCTACTTTGAGTTGTGTGTCTGGATATGCTTCTATCTAATAAAAATAATATATCTTCTACAAATCTGACCTCTACTAAAGCCAGTAGGAAATTTGCTCCTGCCCTTTGTGCATCAGATCTTAATTCTGTCCTAATTGTGGCTTTTCTTTGGATTATGAAAAATAACACATGTGTAAAATAACACATGGAATTATAAGTGGTACAATATAAATGTTTTATTCTGAAAGCAAAGGTGTAGGAAGCAATGCTATGGAGCTTTTCTTCAAAATGGAATACTTTGCACTGGCACCCAAGAAGGACCTTGCACTTAAATCAGTGCAAAATTGTCAGCAAAAAAGAATGGTACAGAGATTTTTAACTCAAACTTAATGTGCAGAGAAACTCAGAATGAAGTAATTTTATGGCACTCTGCTGACCACTGCTTTGGGGGAAAAAAAAGTATCTTTTTTATTTCAAGAAGACCTGTTCTTCCTAGAACAGTTAAAGTATAGTGTTTGCTTCTGCTGCTTTGCTTGCCCTTTATTTCTCTTCACGACAACTCTGTACTTGTGTCATGTGGAATGAAATGTACCATTTGCTGTGGAATACACTGAAAGTCATATCTACCTGTTCATTGCCAGTGTGCATAACTGGAATTTCTTAGTAAGAACATTAACTTAAGCATTGGAACTACTTGGAACATATTAGACAATTGGTTGGGGATTTTTTCTGGAATATTTATAAAACCAAGGAAGTTTTGGTGATGGGTATGCACATTGTACCCTATAAGAAATTTCTGTATCACCATTGGATATGTCAGCTGGATGTGTGTATTGTGTTACACCAGGAAGTGAAATCAGCACGAGTTTGAGGTGAAACTGAGTTTGTTATTCTGCTGATTAATGTTTTTATGTAATTTTTATGCTAATATTCTAGCCACAGCAAAATATTCACGAGGAATAATTGGTAGCAACACATGCTTATTGCTTTACAGAATTATGTGTAATAAGGGATTGGTTTTTTCTGTGCATATTAAATTAATGTACTTCATTGGAGAAAAATTATAATTCAGGAACAATGGATTGCTCCTTTAGTTCATGAAGGAGGAATTAAGTGCATGCTGAGGTGACATTTATACATTCTAGGAAATGTATGTAGGAGAATAGAAAATGTCAATGGTAATAGCTAATATCCCTGCCATGTTTCCCTGTTGTAAACTGGGGTCAAAACCAAATGCATTGTCTTGACTTGCACTGCCCTATGGGGCATGTCAGCATTCACAAATTTTGCAAGGAGTAGGGAGAAGACCCACCCCAGATTCTGCTGCAAGTAAAAGCCTTTCCCCCAAAACCCACAAACTCAGAAAAGGCCTGTGCAGTCACAGGGTCTCTCCTTCAGCCTTGTAGGGATTCCCTGTGCTAATGCTGATGCTCAGTCTCTGCAGCTACTCATGGAAGCCACCAGCTGCTCCTTGTATCTCTGCAGTCCAAGGGTGAGCTCTGTGCCCCCCAGAGCCCCTGTGGGTCTCAGCAGAACTGGCAGAGAGAGGAGCTCCCCCTGGGATGCTCACAACTACCTGCACTTACAGAGCTGACTGAGCTTGAAGGAAATGTCTGACACACAGTGCCCAGCCCAGGAATTAGCCTTTGTCTCAGAGAGAATTCAAACATCTATGATGATCCTCTCTTCCTCTCCCCATGAATGATCATGATTTATAAACCCAGGGCTGGGAATGTTTTTTTGGATCATCCTTACACACTGTGCTTTCTCCTGTAAAATAGCAAGTCTAAATGCCCAGCAACCAGAGCATGTCTGACAGATTTTATGTTGTCAACCCAATAAGCAAAACTTGTGCAAAGAGATGTGAAGCACATGCACTAATTCCTGCCATTCATCATGTCAAGAAATACTTGATTCAGAGGATCTACCCCAGGAAGAACTTGTGCAGCCATAGCATTAATTCTGGCTTCCCTGGATACAATGGTCTGTGTTGTTCTTCCAGGCACTCTTTAAAGGTTGTCTGTCAGTGGCTTTCTCTGGATAGACTTGGTCCAGCCTCGTTTCTGACCTGCAGTATGGGAATAAAAGGCATGGACATGGTAATTATAATTGTGGTCTAATTTTAGCTTTTTTCTCTTTCAGTATTTTCTGTTCAGATGAGCTTCATGTTTTTGACTTTCCTCTTCTCCACAAGGTAAATGAATGTGCTGAATCCCAAGCTTTGAATATTTCTTTTGTGTGATATCTTTGGTTTGAGTGACAAAGTTTATGCAAATGTGTAAAAGCAGGTTTCTGAATAGGGGTGACCTCATTTTAGTATTTCATATTGTCCTTACTGCATTTTCTCTGTTAGAGCTTCATAGGCTAAGAGAGCAGGACCTGAATTCTGTCCTTTCTTGTGTGTTAATTACAGAGTTGTTAAATCTCAATCAATCACTGCTATACCTCATCCACTGAAAAAAATGGATTTGCACAGATGTCACTGAAGGTATAATTTGCCCTGCAGACATGCTGATGACATATGAGAGAGAGAACTCAGTTTGACTTTTTACATCTGAAGATACATTTGCTGTGCTGGCAATTCACTCCTCTCTATATATGTCAAATTTGCTACATTTGTATGGTGATTCCTAAAAGACAGCTGTCCTGAACTAATGTCTGGTAGAGCTTTTTTTTTTTTTTCTTTTCTTTTTTAAAGTATCAACCAGGAAGGGCAATTGTAAATTCACTTCTCAAAAACTAGTATTGTAAGAATGGTGTTAGCCAGTGACTCAGGGCATCACTGGTGCTGGTTGGAGTAGCCACAGCTGTCCTCTCACTGAGGCTTACTGGAATATTTGTTTAGCAGCACTCTGCTGAAAGGGAAGTGCCACAATACAGCAGACTCCAAGCATATGCATTATATAAATTAAACAATATCCATAAGGGAGAATCACAAAGAAGGGTACAGTGTCTTAGAGCTACTTAGGCTTTTTTTTAGTGCCACAAGAAAATTTCTCTGTGACAAGATTATATTCTGGCCTTAAAAGGCATTTTTAAATAACTGCTGGACTGCTAGACCTAACCTGGGGGGAAGATATGCCCCAACTATGAAATGTAAAATACCTTAAACAGTAATAACCAATTCAGTATGGTAAATATTTAGAATCTCATAGAATTACTCCTAATTTAGAGCAAAGAGTGATTCATTGGCCAGTCATATCTCTCTATATACATATATGTCATTTTCCCACCCCTCCTGGCCTTAGTCCCAATGTTTAAACCCTTACATACAGTTTTTCTCTGAAGTGGAAGCAAACTCCTTAGTGCAGACTCAATATATTGTCCAAACTGAGTATTTTGTTACTGTTCCATACTAGAAAAAGAAATAATAGGTCATTTTCTCTTCTTTTGTGGAGGCAAGTGGCTCCTGCTGTGACATTTTTGCGTGTTTGACAAAATAAACTTGGCTGGAATAAAGTTGTGTCCTACAGACAATGTCTTCAAAATTTCTGTCCTTCACAGGGGAGTGTATTCATTAGAGAGCTTGCCACAACAGAGAAACAATTCTGCTAGAAAAAAAAAAAATAAATCAAGCACTACTGTTCATTTATGGGTGGAATTATTTCTGTCACCAGACTGATCAAAGTGATGTAAACATGTATATGGATCCTCAAAGTAATAATTTTGATAGATGCTGTTTTAAGAAGGTTTTTGCTATCAGAGATTATTAAAACTCTTTTGTTTTGTAGGAATAACTCTACTTTCACACCAGCAGACACAGTGGCTATCGTTTTCTGTTCCACACACAAATCCCTCACCCTGGGTAAGTCAAGAGATAAGCTTGTGAGCAAAACAACAGTAACATTCATGCCTTGCTGTGTTGAAAAAAAAAAGGTAAAGTTGCTGGTTTTTCTGCTTAAATGGTTTTGGTTTTAATGTGACAAGTACTGCTACCAGTATGATACTAATAGTAGGACAATATTCTTGCACAGGTGAAATTAGTGCTTCCTACAGGGCAGAGAATACAATCTCCTCAGCTGAGATTTTAGTAGTTGTAGAGTAAGACTGCCTCATTTGTGGAAAGCTGTATTTTTCTTTGTGTTCTGTTGCCTAATCCAATGCTGATAAAATTTCAGGTTTGTTTCTGAAGACATGGCGAGGTGCATCTGCCCAGTATGACAGTAAAACTTACATCTAAAAGCTGGGATGTACAATTGAAAATCAAAGGACATAGTGTATTCAAAAATCACAAATAGACAATACTCTTTTGCTTAGCATGAGCCAAATGTATGTGTTGAAGTCTGCAGATGCTTTGGATAGCTTTGTTTCTTGGCATTCATTTATCAAAACATCATAGAGTTATTTGTCACTTATGACCCCATAGTGATAATAGAATGTTCGGATGGGTATTCAGGAAATACTGTTAAATCAGAAATGCTTACAGCCACTTGCTGCTGGTTCATCCATTATGTTCAGTCAGGAACACAACTGGATTGTTTTCAGATTGTAAAAACAGATGTTTGGTAAAGCCCATGTGATTGAATATCTGATTCTTTGCAAGAGTGTATCTGTGAAAGAGGAGCACAGCTAGTGTCAATGACAAAGGTAAGAGCTCAGCCTGAAACAGGGAAAGAACAAGATGGGACTTAGATGTTTTCCAGGTTGGTTTGATAGAGCAAAATTCACCTCAGGGTTCTTTGCTTCAGACAGGCCTGTGCTGCAGAGTTGTTAGCAAGTGCCTTTGAAAGTCTGTGGGAAGTGGAGGAGTTTCTGGAAGACAAGGAGAAGTCAAAAAAAATGTTTCTTTTTACAGTGGAAATGAGGAGGGGATGAGGAATTATAGATCAGTGAGTTTTAACTGCATTTTGTAGAAAACTACTGAACCAAGTAATGAAATAAATTATTTTAAAAGTGTAGGGAGAAGAAGGGAATAAGTAACAGTGCCATAGCTTTGTCAAATCCATAGCACACTAAACTAACCTACCTTCCTTTCACACAGGGTCCTGTGGGTTGCAGGGAAGCAGCAAAAGTTGTGTGGCTTGAGAATGTTATGATTTTTGATATTTGCACAAGGTTTTGGGCTCCACAGTTCAAAAGTTATGTGGACGAACTGGAAAGAAATGAGAAGAGAGTGCCATGAATGATCATAGACCTCAAAAACATGACCCCAGAGATTGAGGCAGTTAGCATTGTTGAGGGAAGATAACTAAAATACTGCAGTGATCTTCAAATGCATAAAAGGAAGAAAGTGACTCTGTCACAGTGGACTTTGTAAAGGGAAGGACTTTGTTACAGTGATGATGATTTAAGCTAACAATCAGGGAAACCTGTCTAGTGTAAAACAGTTCAGCTTTGGAATATGTTGCCTATTGATGTCTTCAATCTCCTATCATTGTAGACAAGCCTCAGATGGGAATTAAATAGTGGAGTTGATCCTGCCTTGGAGCAGAACATAGATTAAATGACATTGGTCTTTTCCAGCCAAATGTTCTCTGAAACTGAGCTTGGACTAATAAATGAGCTTGTATTTGTAGAAAGCAACTGCACACATAAGTCATAACACACTGCTGTGCTTTCTGTTTGGAAATGTATGAACTTAGGGCACAACTGTGATACTACAGAAGAAAAGCTGGAGAAGCTGGTTGTGTTTAACAGCACAAATGTGCAAGTTTCCCCTTCTCTCCCCAGAGAGAATAGTTTTATATATGCTCTGTTGCATATTTCTGCCAGCTTGCCATGACACTAAGAAAATAAGCACAAAGCCTTTTTAAATATTTAAGTCCTAAAGGGGCTTGCCATCACCCCCCAAAAAATGAGGACTGTTCATTTCTTTTACTCACTCTACCAAGCATCCTTATGCAGCCTGTCTTGACCTGACTCTGTGACACAGCTGAGTCAGTTCACTTTTCTTCTGCTACTACACTCTCAATTTTTTATGCTATTTTCTTTTTTAGAAGAACTTAGTTTGAAGTTCCTAGCTCCCTTGACCTTTTGGCTCACATTTTCCCAATTCCAAGTTACTGCTCATATTAGCATAGCCTCATGAGCCAACTTTTGTATTCTGCAGCTTTCTTCGCCCAAGTACACTGGCAAAAATACTTTGGCCACCTTGACTTCAAGGATTCCTGCAGCTTCTCCCCAGCTATAAATACCTTTTTCCCCTAGTACCAGATATCCCATGTCTAAATGTGCAGGTTGAAGTGAACAGGTAGACAGTGGAACATGGTACTGTGGGGCTGTTTCTGAGCTGTGGACTGTTCTGTCAGCTTTGGGGCAGAGTGCTTTTCAGTCATCCTGGGAGAGGAATGGGGAAATGCTCCTTTTGGCAGTCCCCTAGGAGCCTGTCCTTGGTAAGCCTGAAGTACCTGCTGGTTTTGTGTGCACCCCTGCTCCATGGGTGTCCAGGTGTGCCTGCTGTGTATCAGACTCCAGCTGGCTGAGTTTGGAACCATTGATATTTTATTCTGTTTGGTGTTAGTAGCAGTTCCAGATAACGTAGAGCTGTATAAAAACAAATCTATGTGAAAATAAGGAGTATTGGGTTTTACAAAACCAGGGTGTGATGAGCCACGTGCCTGAGCTGATGATGCAAACAGATATGTTAACCAGAGCAGGCGGCATTTTTTCCTTCACTGAATGTGGGAGCAGAGTAGGTCTAATTAGTTTTTAAGGATTAGCTGTTTCTGAATGACACTTAAATCTTTCCCTGTCCACCCTGGTCTTCGTAGAAACAAGATAAACACAAGCATTTTGGCCCTTACTCTTTTGCTGTTCTGGCACATTTCTGCTTGTCCTTAGATGTTTGTTATAAACTATGCAACAAAAGATCTTCTGCTCACTTATGTTAGAGAGAGCTTTTCCTTCTCCCTCTGTCACTGCAATGCCTGAAAGCACAAACACGGCTCTCATTTCACATCTGTTGTGGAGCTCTGCTTTGTTTGTCTTCAAGATTCCTGTGGTAATGTATAAATGACCCCCCAACACTTGTACCTTCGCTTTGAAACTGATTTCTCTCAGCTTGGCAGGTGAAACTCCAAATAGGTATGTCTGGCCCATTCCCAGGGGAGCTGAGAATGGCACCAACTAAAGTGGGAGAAGAGCTGACAGCTTTAAAGCTTTAGAAGTGGTAATAGGAGAGGCATGAGAAGACTTTTGTAAGTCACTTTCTCCCACACCATATTATGAAACCAACTAATTCCCATGCAGTGCATGCTCATGAGGCCAACTGCCACTTCCACTGTTGCATCCATGAATAAGTGCTTGCTCTGCACGGAGATGAGTGCTGTTCCCATATGCTGGGTCTTATTTTGTAGACAGAACAGTTGACACACTTTTTGTCTCAAAGATCAGAGTGCAGGGCGTGTTTGTGTAAGGACAAATTACACAGGGTAGGTGCCTTTGTGTTCCTTGGCTGGGAGCACGAGCCAGTACCTCTGCATGGAGGTGGGTGCTTCAGCAGGGTTTTGAATAAAGGGCATCACACATGCAGAAAAACCAATGTTTATTTGCATTTCACCTAAAGAGTGAAGCAGGATATGAACTTGCAAGGAAGCCAAGATAAATATAGTATCCACAATGGCCTCTGGCATTTTCACCCCCACATTGTTCCCTTTCTCTCCTCCTCCCTGCTCACATATATGCATGGTACATGTGAGCACACACATATGCAGACATTTGATGCATGGCTTTTATTAGTGCATTTGCCATTGATTGATTAGTACTTAGTATTAGTACTTCTTCTATTGATTGATTGCAGATGAAGTGACTATTTGACCTTTAATTATGAGCCTTGCTATTGAAAATGACATTGAGCTATGGCTTCACATAATCCATCTGGAAAGCCCGACATGATGCCATTCCCTGGAGTTCATTCAGTGAGAAGAGAAGAGGCCTCAAGGAAGTGCAAAGCTATCACTGTGGCTCATTTAAAAAAATACTGCAGTTGTTGCTTGCACTTACACAAAAGTTGCAGCCAAATACAAAACATTATTTGATTTTTTTTTTCAGAGAGTAAATTGCTAGCTAGAAGTTACAACTCTGAAAGGAAAATTCAGGATTGTCAAAAATATATATTTGCTTTAATTCTTGATATTTACTATGTAAAATTATATTATCAGGAAAAATCAAAGTACTGTTGCCTATTTTGGCTACCACAAGGGCAAATATTAATATTGGAGGTATTATGAACAGCAGATTAGTAAAACAAAATAGCAAAAAGACCCCTACCTAATATTAAGATTGGGGTATTGTTTGTGATAGAGCATGTATTTTTCCTCATTTGGATTCAGCAATGTAGCAGTTCTCTCACCATGTGGCCCTTCAAGTAATACAATCAAAGTTTCTAGCCTACTAAATACTTTCAGGCAAGAATACAGTTCATTCTAGAAATAAAAGCCAAAACACCAACTTTCTTTTGTCTTGTTTTAATTTAATTCAAATTTATTTTTTTAAATACTTAGTTTCTTACTGCTCAATTGTTTGAGCAATGGCTGTACTCGAACAATTCTTAAAAGGCTGATGTTGTGCACAAGTAGATTGATTCAGGGGGGAATGTCTGCGAGGGGATCATCCAGGCTGTGGATTAATCAGCCCCTGCCTTCCCCCGAGCTGCCCAGCTGCACAGTGGGACAGAGGGCATCATGCTGATATACAGCTCCAATCTGCTCCCAGGTATCTATAGTTTTCTGTCATGCTTTCTACAGATATCACCTAATAAGATTTTTCAGGATAAAAAATATACTCAAATGCTGTACTAATCCATTGTAGACTCTTTTTATTGTATGGTGATAATTACCTCTCTCCTTTAAATAGAAAAATGCTAAA